GCAAGGGCAAGTGAGACAGCAAGCCACCAGGTTTGGGACTCAAACCATGGTCAGCCATGGGGGAGTGTCCAGCACCTTAACCACCACATCACCTGCTGGTCCCCTGGCTTGAGTTTTAAGCTGCTGGGTCCAGGTTTTGAACCGCAGTTGTCCATGTGGGATTTCAGCAATGGAACCATTATTCTATCTGCTAGTCCTTCATGCTTTCATTTTTAAAATGCAGGACAGAGGTCTAGTCATGATAGTGCATGGGGGTCGATTCTCCTATTTGGCAGGCTGAGGCCATATGAGATGCTAGGATTCAATTCCCAGCTCACCCAGTTCCTGAGTTCCAGCTACTTGTGAGACTGAAGGCTGAGGTGGGAGGATGACAACACAGCAAGAACCTGTCTGAAACAAAACAAGAAAAAACAAGAATACCATACATACACACACACACACACACACACACACACACACACACACACACACGCACACACACGCACACACACGGTGACAGTGGGGGACATGACTGATATAGACTAAAAGGCTTAAAAGACAATGAAATGAAGAAAAAAATGCAGGATGGAGGTATTAGATCAAGATGATAGACTGAGAACATCTACATCCCCTCCCTCCAAACAAATCTCTAGAAATGACGGAAAGGGGTGTGTGTGTATGTGTGTGTTAAATGTATATATGCATATATATAATGTATATATATATATACACACGTATAAGAATTCTGGTGATTATAAAGGGGCTTTCAATAATCAGAACATTTGAGGATCCCTGAAAAGTGTAAGGCAGATGGGATTCAATTGATTAAAGAAACTACAGGACTGAAAAATATAGGAGAGCACCACTTTGAAATTTGGGGGCAGTTTTTCTCATTGTTGCTTTTAGAAATATATTTTTAAGAATTATTTATTTAATTTTATTTCTAATTATTATTTATTTTCTAATGTGACCAGAGAGAGAGAGAGAAAGGGAAAATGAGAAAGCAAGCCACCAGGTCTGGGACTCAAACCACGGATCTGCCATGTGGGAGTCCAGCACCTTAACACTATGCCACTGCAGGCCCATTTTTTTTAAAGAGGTTTTTACCTTAGAGACCGTGGGATCACAGGAGAGAGAGAGAGACAGAGACAGTGAGAGGGAAAGTGAGAAATCACCGCGCCCCCCCTCCCCCCAACGGAGGATGGCCACACCGTAATCCCTTTTCTACTCCCATTCTCCTCCCAGGATCTTGAACACACATGCACACAGGCCTGGTGTGATTTTCAAGGCACCAAGTCTGGAACTCAAACAGTCGTTGACCATGTGGGAGTCTAGCAACTTAACCACTGCCATATGCTGGCCCCTGGGAGCAGTTTTAAGGCACCCCAAGCTCAGAGGATGTAGATATGAGCAGCAGGGGAATGTCAGAACTTCTTTGTATGTCTCATCCGTATTTGAATTAATACCAGACACCAGAGACATTCTTCATTTAACTGGGAAAATGCAGTATAGGTGTTTGGGCTTAAGAAGCAGGATTTCCACACACACAGAATATGAATTATTGCAGACTTCACTGTCTGTACATCTTACCACTCCTCCATAATTAGACAACAGAAAAAGAAACTCTTGGGGCAGGCAGGTGGCATTGTGGTTAAGATGCTGAACTCCCAAATAGCTGACCACGATTGAGTCCTGGACCTGGTCTTGCTTTCTCACGTTCCCCTCCCCCTCTGTGTGTGTGTCTGTGTGTGTGTCTGGTCAAATTAAAAAAATAATAATAATAAATATAAATAAACAAATAATTCTTTAAAATAAAAAAGATAAACTCTAGTCACAGTAAAACAAACAGGGAATCTCAAATGTAAAAGTAAACACACATGTATGAGTCATGGAATATTTAAAGAAAACCATTCTCATGACTAAGTTCAACAAATACAATAACTAGGGGCCAGCAGGTGACATGGTGTTTAAGACACTAGACTCCGAATGGCTGACTGTGGTTCGAGTCCCAGACCTGGAGGCTGGGGGCTTTCTCTGTCTCTCACAGGTGCCCTATAGCAAATTAAAGAATAAGAATAATGGGACCAGCAGTTAGCATAATGGCTATGTCACTGGACTCCCACGTAGTCAACTGCAGTTCGAGTCCCGGACCCGGTGGCTTAAACTCACGCCGGTTGCATGTGCGTGCGTGCCCAAGATCCCGAGAGGAGAATGGAGGAGAAGGGATTGCGGCGTGGCCATCCCCCCTGGGGATGATTTCTCGCTTTCTGTCTCTCTGTCTCTCTCTGTCTGTCTGGCGAGTGTACGCGCCCTATAGCAAAAAAAAAAAAAAAAACTCTCCAAAAAAAAAAAGAATAAGAATAATAAAATAAAAGTATTATTTGATAAAAAATAACTAATGCCACACAACAATATATCACTAACAGAACAAATGTAAGCGATCTCTAAAATTATTATCTTTAATATCCTTAGAGCAGAGAAATTAGAAGAAATAAAAGGAACGTTATTAATGTTATTTTTTAAACTAATGAAAAGAACTTAAACACCTAGTATTCAAATATTGGTTTCTAATATCATTTTCAATTTGAAACAAATCAGGAGACTGATCAAACTTCTTTGTATGTCTTCCTCTGTATTTGAGTTAATATCAGACACCAGGGACGTTCATCATTTCACTGGGAAAAAGGGGTACAGATTGAGAAATGGCTGATTCTAGGATTAAGGCAAGAAATAAACAAGATGAGCCTGATGCATCTTCTAGTGGCAGAAAGTAAGGATGTGATTAAACAGAGCAAAACAAAATATTTCAATAAATAAGTAAAGAGAACAGACAAATCTCTTATGCGAAGTAGTCCAGATAAGTTGTGTAGGTACTCTGCCCTCAAGGAGAGAGAGCATAATTCCCCTCTCCTTAAGTGTGGGCTGCACATAGTGACTTCTTCCCAAAGAGTACAGTATGGAAATGGGAGGAGGATAAATTTACAGTGGATAAACCTGACAAACGCTATGTCAGCCTGATCATCAACATTAACATCAATAATTAGGTCATTTTAGGCTGGCCCTGTAGCGCAAAAAATAAAAAAACTAAAAAAAAAAAAAAAAAACCCAAAAAATAAAAAAAATCCC